ACGTACTTGGGACCAAAGCGGACGTCCTTAAAGTCCGCGAGGGACGTACTATGGACGTACGGGTGCTATTAGGGATAATATTCCCAGAATTCGGAATCCATTACTATTTTGAAACTTTGTAAATGGTTAAATTTATGTTGCTGTATTTTTAATCTTTCAGTGTTATTAGTTGTTATGTTCTGCATCTGCTTCAGATTGGGCCTTTTTGTCAAATCCTGCCATTCGTTGGGGAAGTTAATTGATACTTAATTTGGCCACTGATATCATGCTTCAGACATCGAATGTCTGGTACATTAGGATCACCAACTTTATATCCTGGTCTGATACTGCTGTAATACAATTTTATAAAAATGCGGAAATCATTAATGAAAATAAAATTACTTCACAACAAAGAGTTTGGTAGGGCGAGCTTGCAAATCCGAATATAATGGGAAAGAAGATAAATATCTTTTTTCCTTAAACGACGCTCTATAAATCTATGTGCGCTATCCCCTTCCATCTGTGTATGTCCCTTCTCTAAAAAATGTTGAATTATAGTGATCTTTTTTAATTGATAACTTTAGCAAGGCATTACGATTTAACAACGCAAGACATAAGGATTCGACAAAACAACATTACGATTTTGGTAGCCGCAACCAGCACTATATATATAACTATTTCTTTTGAAGAGGGACACTTCGCAATTGAGCTCCAAAAAACTGCAAATAATCCAAGTTATGTTTGTAGTTTCTAATGAACTGTGTGGGGCTCATCCCATAGGAAGTAGTATATAACTGTTGTAGCTAAATTAAACACAGTATAATTCTAACTTTGTCTTGTAATACATCACAAATAAGGAGCAAATTTTACTTGCATATCCATAGTGGGCAATAAAGTCTTATATGGGTTCATAAGGTTGTTTCTTTATCTTTTTTCTTTTCGTCTCTTGCTTTTGTTTTTCTTTTTTGGTGTTCTTCATTTGTTTGATGATCATGTTCGTAGGCCATACATAAATCCCAGTGGTCTTTCTTTGGTCGAAATATACCCAAGTTTTGCTTTTTAAATTCTACAGTAAAGAAACTTTGGCTCTAAAGAAATAATTTTGTTGTAGAGGCTCTCAGACCCTATAGCAATGGCTCGATAGTTTTTGAATTGTATTCTTTTAATACATTTTTCCAATGTTATACGTCAGCTTTTTCGTGATTCATTAAGTTGCTTATTTTCCTTGGCATGCATCCCTGATTTATGTTCTGCTGATAATCACCAGCTTCTAACCGACCGTATCAAGGAACATTGTCTTACAAACTAATTGATTTTTAGATGATAATAAAAAGACGCTGACGTGAGTTGGCAATCACTGCCACCCAATCGAAGGGTACATTCACCATTGCTCTTTTTTCTTTCTCTCTATGGGCGAGAAGTCATGGTCGCAAGGCGAAAAACTGTGACCGCTAGTTAAGAGCTTTTGTTCTACTTAAGTGAAATATCTACTCACAATCAGCAAACGGAACATGGACAGCACTCTCCAGTTATTATTCTGGCCGACACATCGGTCAGACCAGACTATGAGTTTTTTTTATTTCTCCTGAGTTCAATGGACGAAAGTTAAGTTTTAACACAGGAAAGCTATGAAACGATATCTGTAGAACCACGATTCAGTGTAAGTGCGCCGGGAAACATTGCATTGCGGATACTTTTCACAAAACAGTTTGTACATTTTTTTCAAGTTTAATTTAGCAGGAAGGCAGTTCTTCGTAGATGCAGTGCGACTTCAGTGGTGTTTTTGATGTGGAAACGACTTTATGGTCTTTATGTGTTGTCTTATACGTTCTTTGACAGTTTTGTTGATTTTATTAGACCTATTATTGTGTTTTCCACGTTGATCACGTAGCTGCGTATGTTTTTATCTTCTGCTAAATATATTGGATTTTTCGAGGTGTTATTCCAAATGCTTGACATATAGTTTTTTGGCACACTGGTTATTTCTTCAGTTCAATCTGGATGTGGTATCGTACACTACATTGTCGTCTGGAGATGTCTTCTGGAGTCCGTCTACGTTGTGGCTCTTGAAGTTCCATACAACTGGCATTTGTGCATTATAATCCAGCCTATGAAATGTTGTGAAGAGATCTCCAAACTTGCTTTGAATTTTAGCAGCCTCATTTGCACTTACCATCGAGCAAAAAAACAAAAGAGGGAATGTAAAGGTAGTGGGGGCAAAAATATCGTTAGACAGGAAGTGCGATCTTTAGAGGCCACATTAAACAAGGAAAGAGAGTTTCTCTCCTTGTTTGACATCAAATTTAGTTGGGTTATGTTATTGTTTGTCCCAAATGTCACATGAAATCTTATTTATAATGAAGTTTTTTAACAATTGTGTCGCATTTTAGACTATTATCGTTAATAATTAATTAAAACTTTCTCGTCTAAGACACATTCTGAAAAATATTATATAGCTACTGTTAATAAGTGTAGAAAAATTTAAATTTGGCGCATTCGCATTTCCGGATATGTCCGCCATCAGAGGCCACTTTTTTGGTCTCCTTTTCATAAGGATTAGATTCCCTCTCTTGTCTTTTTGCTCGATGGCACTTACACAGTCGCTCCAAAAATATAAAAATACTTATTTGAAGAACATTATTTGAGACATTTACGGATGTTTCTCTTCCACTGGTTAATATTGATTTTGCGTTTTTCCCTCTATTTATGTACAAACGACTCAGCAACACGTTACCATTTTTACAGTGATAGTAGTTTGACAGTGACGTACATACAACGTTTTTGCACGAATACCAACATTGCGGAACGAAAAACTCAGAAAAGGCAAAATGTTATTAGCCAGATTGAAAGATGCTCGGATTGGTCTTTGGATAGACACAATATTGCATTAAAACCTCACTTTGACCCAATCTGTCGCTTACAACATTGTTGCGGCCCATCATTCAATTGTCAGGTTCAAAGTCAGGTTATGGATGTGTTTTTTGTATAAAAGTTGTAAATATAGGATAACAAATTATTTTAAATAAATAAATAAAAACTACACATTTGGTTTAATCAAAACTTAAATATATTAAAGACAATCACATTTGCAGCTATGAAAATTATAAAGGAATGTACAAATAATAAATTATATACAGATTTAGTGCCCGAATGACCCGCAAATTGTTATTATATGTACAATAAATATATACCATTATACATTAACTCGTTATTTGATTTTATAATCGTATTTTATATAAATTGTGTCTCAAAGTGTATAGTCTTGGTTTTTCGCTTTTAAACGATGTATACATAAAAGTTATAAAATAAAGTGAGTTTAAAGTCCTATCCATCCATCTTTCTAATGAGATTATATCAAGTAGTTAAATATTATGCTTGTATAGGATTAAGATTTCTATGTCGGAGAAACGTCAAGACCACTAACTGTCAGGATAAACCAGCATAAAACACATCAAAACAGATTTCAGAAAATCACAGAAACGCAAACATGCGTGGGTGTATGTTTGTTACATGCACAGAGTACAATGTAAAAATGCATAAACAGCCACAAAACAGAGAAAAATCAAAGAAGCAGCTCAGAAAAACTAGTTATAATATCTGAAAATTATTCAGTTTAATAGTCTTATAGCCAATCACAAATGAGATGGACGGATGATGAGGACACAACTGAAAACAAGTGGCGCAAAATAGAACACACTCAATTGATTTGGTGGAAGATTACTTAAGGCTTCATTAGAAGAATTTACCGTTGCCCCATTGTCTCTGACAATTCTTTTTTATTCTTTAATGGTATGAGATGTTGAGATCAATAAAACAAGTTAAAAAAAAGGAAAATTTTCTGCTTGAAAGATGTAAGAGATTAATGTAGTGTAGATGTAATGTAGAACTTGTCTTGTTACTACACAAGAGCTAAAAACATCTAAGAAAAAGCATGAACAAGAAAAACCATTAGTAGGAAAATCAGCAGCTAAATAAACTGAACTTAACTTCTTAATGCACTCAATTATCGTGTTTTGTTACGATAATATTAAATATTGTTCTTAAAGCTTTAATTTTGCCAGTCAATCGGACAGAAAGTCTTACATCTCTAACAAAAATGAAATATACAGAGTTTTAGTTAAAATCAGCAAAATAATATATTTGGTTATGCGATGGAAAAAGTTAAAAGTACAGAAAAATAATACATCAACTTTTTAAAAGTAAATTTGGACCATTGTCAACGCATAGTACTTCAAACATAGACAGCGTGCTGCAATAAAGACCCGTTCCCCAGTGCGACAGAGAAGAAAGATTCGAGCAGTCGAAAAAGATATGCTGCAATATAAACACTGGTTTATATTGCAGCACGCTGTCTAGGTATTATAAGCCTATGACTTCAAAAATTCCTAATTTTAGGTTAGATTAACTTAAATGAATGGTTTTCCATCTAATATGACCATCATCACAGATAACTCCCGAATAATTCATTAATGGATCTTTCGTATGCCAATCAAAGCCAAAATGTTCCAGTATTGAGTAAATTTTATATAAAAGGTGTCTCAAAATGTATGCAAAATTTTAATTGAATAGAAAACATTGTTTTTTTCTTTAGATTGTAATTTTTCTATTAAATCATAAAGTACATAATATGACTAGCATATCAGACAAATGGTTTTGACGGCTTTACTGACACATGCGCACTCTTTTGTCAAAAGTTTCCATGACCATTTTCATTAATGCAGTATTAAATTGCTCCTTCAATGCACATGTGGTTGTAGGCTTGTTGACAAATAATTCTGATCACCAAAACGAGTGAGTACACAACCAGGAAATGTCTTATGGAGTAATTGCATTGTTTCATGGACTGTATGGTATGTGGACCCGTCTTGTTGAATCCGAGTGTCATGAAGATTGTGAAAGATTTTATTTAATCTTCTTGATGTTGTCTATGCTGGTTCCGTTAATTTTGATTCCACCTTGGACCTCATCTAATGCTTTTCTGAATATCCACACTCCTCGTCGGATTCGTATATCTTCGGATATTGTGTGCTCTATTTTAATTGTTGCCAATATAGATAGATAGATCTGAGGTAATTCGCAAGTCTTGTTCGTCAATTCCAGTTGACGACATGCATATACATATACATTCACGTCTCTGCATCGTTGTGTTAACATATTTAAGGCAAAAAGAGCTTCTCGTGTCCTAATCCATTTCGAAATCCGAATTGAGTGTCTTCTTCTTCTTAACGTGCTCTATTAAGTCCCCTTGACGTTGGCGATTAACATGGCGAAACTGTCTCTGTCTCGAGCTATTCTAAAGAGTTGCTCAGCTTTCTTTATTCCTGTCCACTCTCTGATATTCTTCAACCAAGAGGCCTGCTTTATACCAATTCCTCTGCGTCCTTCGATTTTATCCATCATAATAAGTTGAAGAATATTATATCGGTCTCCCCTTACTACAAAATTCTGTCTTACTGTCCAAAATAGGCCATCTTTCTAAATTTGATGTTATCAAGCAGCTCGCGAGCAGCATTTGCTCTCTCAAGGACTGCCACATTTGTCAGCATAGCCGTCCATGGAATTTTTGGTATACGTCTGTGCAGCCACATTTCAAAGGCCTCCAGACGATTAATGGTGGATATTTTTAATGTCCATGCTTCGACACCGTATAAGAGAACTGACCAAATGTAGCATTTAACCATACGCTTTCGAAGTTGAAGTTTCAAGATATCATTACAAAAGAATGACCTCATTTTTAAAAATGTCGTGCGGGCTATTTCGATTCTACATTTTATCTCTTGATCTGGATCTAGTTGTTCAGTAATATGGCAACCAAGATATTTAAAACTGGACACTCTTTGAATTATATGACCATCAACATATAATCGTGCATCTTGATGTGCTAAACGGCTAAACACCATGTGTTTTGTTTTTGAACAGTTTATGTTTAGGCCAAACTCTCTTCCCACTGTATCAATGGCATTTAAAAGGCATTGTAATCCATTCATGTCATCACTTAAAATAACTGTATCGTCTGCATATCTGATTGTATTTATCAGAATTCCATTAACTTTCACGCCCCATTCTAAATTATGCAGCGCTTCTTTAAATATTCTATCTGAATATAAATTAAATTGGTGGGGATAGTATACAACCCTGTCTGACACCTCTTTGTATTTTACATATTTCTGTTGATTTTCCGTTTATGCAAGCTGTCGCTGTTTGACGCCAGTATAACTTTTCTATGAGTGTCACTCAAGTAAAACTCACACTTCTTGTAAATAGTCATCGCAGTGTAACGCATTGGATATTTTTTGGAATGTTACGAATGTTGATTTTAGCCAGTCTGATGGTATTTTACCTGATTTTATTTAAAACCGAGCTACTAATATCAAGTAACTTGTTTTATTTTGTAACTCTTTTATTTAATATCACTATTACCCATGAACATTTTGCACATCCAGCATATTTTTTACTTTGTTAATTTATGATAGTGTCAGATATAAAATATAATTTTTAAATGCATAATATCAAAATTATTTTATAAAACATTGCTTGTTTTCGAAGTTACAGTTATAATATGGCGACAAAATTTGAATGTATGCAAATTTTTTTTCTCACATACAATAAATATAAAATATCATACTAGTCTACAAAGATAAACAGTTATTATTAGTTTACATTATAGATTAAATAAAAAATTATTTAAGTTTCCGATCGTTTGATTAAAAGTAAGGTTATATGTTGACAACTGACTTACGTCATATGTTATACTAGTTTTTGATCCAAAAACCGATATTTTTGGTTGACCCTTGATAAAAATATTTGACTTAGGTTGCCACTGTGTACTTTAAAAATTAAATGCAGAAAATTTCAGTACTTTTAACGCAAAATACAATTCAATGTTTGCAAAAAGTATCATAGAATACCAACATATCCTTTTACTGTGCTAAAAATTTGAGAACTAGTCATTCGTGTGTCTTTTATCAACTTATTTATAAATATCAGATAAACTGTTAATACTCTAAGATACTTCTTGGGTATTTCTTTACTAATAAACAATAAATAATTCATTAACTGACAGTTTCTTAATATCCAGCATTGATTATTGTAAATAAATAGTTATTTTGGCTTAGTCTATATTACTGTAGTCAGTATTTTATACCTATTAAACAATGATTTATATAAAATGATTTTATATTCACATACAGTTCTTTCACAAAAAGTTTTTTCGAGGAAAATATGCGTTTGTTGAATTATCTCATAATAGTTTTTTTGAATAGTGAAACAGAGTGCGTTCAGCCGAACTTAGCGGCTAAACAGCTGACTAAAGGTCGATTCAGACAAATCAGTCCCGTCATAGTCTCGGCGCCGAAACGGTCCTGTTTAGTCACAGAACTATCAACTACCTGACAGCTGGGAAACTGTTCGTCGCCTGATGAATGTGAATGCCGGCAACATATTTGTATTAAAGAATATTTTGTATGACGGATTGTTCGGTTCGGCGCCAGGACTGTGACTAGACGTGACTGATGTGTCTGAATCGACCTTAAGCGGTAGCGTCCAGACGCATCCAGCGCAAGCCGCTGTTGAACTTACTAAGCCTACTTTATTTCCACTGGATGAACCACCGATGAACTCAGCGGCTGCTTGGGCATGCGTGGTACACAATAATAATTTTAATTTTTCACGAGTTTTTAATAAAAAAATTCGATTGATCTAAAAAATGGATTTACAATGGAATAATGAAAGTACAGTTTGGTACTGAACGAGTATATGTATTTATAAAAGCATTTATGAAAATATTGTGGTTAGATTTGTCGAAAAATCAAACATGAAATGAAATGTTGAGACAAATGCGTTTCTGTCTGCTGGATCTAAGCCGCTTTGTGCTTCAAGTCAGCCGCTGAGGTCGTCTGAACGCATCAAAATGTGTTAAAAAAATTTCAGACTGTCTTAATTTCAACAACATAGGTTAGTGACAGTTTTTCTTAGTTAATCTTAATGTTATTCATATATGTTTATAAAATAAAGAAAAAATTTTATATTAAACAATCTTCCTGTTTCCCTAGTGGATTCAAAATAAATATATCTTTCATTTCTAATCACAAATATATGAGGTGTCCTACATAGATAAAATTCTAAGATGTTTTTCTAACACCTTTTCTTATAGCAATGTTAAAAATATATAAAATACTCATGTTGATCTAATGTATAAAAACTGAACATGTTTCCACTAAGCTACTTTATCTGGGTATTCCTTAGCTCCTTCTGACTCCCAAATAAACTCCTAAGCATATGGCTACAACAAAACAGGCACAGATTATGTAGATTACAACTTTCTGTTGAATGGTTCTCATGATCATTGAATTCATCAGTCTCCCTGACCTTCCTAATTCTTCATCAGCTTCTCTTAGCTACGATCAAAACAAAAGAAAGCATCAATTCGATAGTCAAATAGTCATGAATAGCAAAATATTTTGAAAGAGAATGTACTAAAAGCATATTTGTATATTGTGATAAATCAATATTATAATACGAAATCACATAAAGACGAAGAAATTATATGAAAAGTCTGTCTCTCCTTGTAAAACAATGTTTTTCATTGATTTTTGTGAGTGATAGTCATTTTCGAAAAGTAATCAGCAATTTTTTAATGATATGCAGATGGAGTGTACAAAAAATGTAAAATATACAGTTTAAATACATTTGAATTATTTATGTAGGTACCTACATATTAATTAAGGTTTAAAATATTTATGCGCTTAATTACATTATTATACAAATGTTTTATACAAAATTATTTTTATTTTATTCACATAAAGGTATTTTTCGAAAAAAAAAAATCGTTTTAAAGCCCCTGACAGCCACAAAATGTCAAAATTATTAATTCCTAACTTATTATTAGTTATAATATAGAAAAAAGTATATTTGTTTCAAAACCATTTCTCTTAAAATTTGGCATCACTGTTGTTCATAAGAACCTGTACTGTAAAGTCAAGGTGGGACAGACTATAGAGCACTTAATATATTATACTATACTATAATACCACAATTGTAGCGGGTGAGTTATATTTTTAATGTAGACCTTTGCGGGTCTGAAAGGAAAGGAAATCCACAAGTTATCGGCATGCCATTATTATTATAAAAAAAGTGGAACAGTATGCTAGCGGGGACCTTCATAGTTTTTGTATCGAATTTACACAAAATTCCAGGAGCCGAGACCATCCTGTGCCCCAGGTGTCTCAGCCACTATCGTCGATATGATATTACTGTCCAACAAGCATGAAAACCGCAGAGTAACGAGTTTTCACTGATTTTATATTGAATTTCCACAAAACTCTAGGATACGAGGCCCGTCCTGGAAACCAGATGATGCCCCACACACCATCTCCTACATGATATTAGTATTCAGCAACCCCAAAAACCCCTGAGTAATATATTTGCACTGATTTTGTATCAAATTTAAAAAAAAAAACTCCGGAAGACAAGGCCCAGGTGTCTCACCTGGGTGAACTTCCTAAGCACAACATTAAAACTTTTCAAACTCTTTTTCGATGCACCCTGCAATGTTCTATTGGAAGAAAAAAAATCTTTTTCTTATTTTTAATATTCTTCCATAATCAGCCAAAGAGGTTCTTCTAAAAGGTCGAAATAGTTGCTTGTATCTACTTAAAATGCGTTCAATAATACAGTTTTCCTATACCTTTAGATGACATACTGCCCCAAAAACATCAATGTAGGTAGTTTTGAAAATTGAAAAGTGCAGTCCTTAGGCTCTTTTGCTCATTTTACTGCATTTCTCATTTATTGTGACATCAAAAGTGGTTTTTCTTTAGCATACAGCAATATTTTAAATTCTCAGTGCAGTTTTCATTAATTTTTTAACCAAGTAACTTATGTTGCATGTACTAAATCCTAACTTTGAGTCTCTCTCTGACATGTGGATACAAAAATTCTTCATCTAACAAACAGCATCACTCCAAAGAACACTTATCTCAAGATAATTTATACTTTGATATTTTTCAATAATTTTACTTAATGCTCTCTTCTACTTTGGAATGATTTGTGGCCACTGAACCCATAGTTTTTTATTTGCTAACACTATACTATGATAATCAGAGAGAAGACATAAAGTGTCTTCTCTCTGTCCATTTTAAAACCACACAAATACTAGGAGACTTAAAAGTTTATAAATAGATAATTTCAATTGTCCATTTATATAATAAAATTACATTGGATTCATCCACTACAGGAAATATTTTATTTTTTTTTCATTTTTTATATTATTGGCAAAGTTAATAAAACTAACAAAATTAAATTGTTTTTTTTTCCATTGAATACTATTAAAAATTCATATATAGTTTTTTATAGTGACCAAAAAACTGTGATTTAAATAGTTGGGCCAACTGAGATGAGAAAGAACTTTTAGTTCTATGGTTCCATTCAATGATATGACATATACTTACCCTTTGTCTACTCCTCTGAATGGATTCCTTTTGTTCACCTAAATTTTTCAACACATCAATCCCAATCTCTTCTGTTTCTACTATAACCCTATACCCTTCTTCTAGTTTCTTACTTGTCCTTTCTAATCGTTCTGAATTATCTAAAAGTCTTTGTTTTTGATCTGAGGATATTCTAATATCATTTAAATCTTCTGAACTGTCATACAAGATTCCTTGTTTAACTGATCTAGCCTTTATATAATCCAATGTCAGTCTTTTTAGTTCGGCTCTATAACAATCACACTTTGTCCTACACCTTTGTTTCTTTGACTGTTCCAATTCCATGGCCTCCAGATCCATCAGCTCCAACTAAAATCAAAATATTTCTAAAGCAAAAAATATGTCAGATAATTATAAATCATCAAAGCTTAGTCCACTTTAAGAATTTAGATAATTGATTAAATATGGTATAGTATATAGATTAAATATAGTACATTATATAAATCCAAATGTCATTGAGAGGAACTGAGTAGAACCAACATTCTTTTGAATGCAATTATCAGCATCATATCAGTAATTTCCTACTCAACTTAACTGCTCTGTACTCTGCATCCTTGGGCAGAACAAAATTAAATCAGGAAATGTTTTAAAATCTTAAGATGGTACAATATTATCATTGCTTAAGACATAGAGGAAAAACTAGTACTACATATAATATATTTGCAATGGCCCTACATCCTTGAAGTAGAAAATGATAGTAAGTTATCATTATCTGCATTTGCAATGTAAATACTATGGACAAACATGAAAGTTAACATTTTAAATGAAATAAAGACAAAATAATTCCTACTAATGTATTGAATTGCAGGTAGTCAACTAAGTTATAACTTTTTAAACATCCTATAATATCTAATATTCCATTTATAGATCTCTTAATACAAAAGCACTAATCCTTTCAAATGGTTTGGGTGGACCACTTGCATATGTAATACTACAAAGCTAAATAAACTTCTGTAAAGGTAGATAATATATTTACCAGTTCTTGTGCTTCTTCGAGATGTTTTTCTATATTCGAGATTAGCTGTCGTCGGTCTTCTGTGAAAAAACAATTGAATATTAACCTACTTTTTTTAACAGGAATGAAAAAAATTAAAACGATAATATTAGAAATTGTTATACATACTAGTCGCTGAAGCTGTCAGGAGGCCAACTTGAGCGGTTATATCCGCTGTTAACACTGAATATTGCTGTTCATAATTTTCAAAAAGTGAAACCATTTTGATTATTTGGTTTCGATTTTTATTTTTATCTTATCACGTTTTCATTTTTACAACAAACAGCAGATGTCGTCGAAAGGTAAACGTCACTGTCAATTGTCGATAAAGTTTAAATTAGATATTTAGCATAAATACACCACAGTCTTGCCCAAATGGTTTTATTTCTTAATTCCATTTTTTTAAATGAAATGTATTTAATAGAACAGAAGCCAAACTAACAACTTGAAAGATTATGGCAATTTGTAGATGTGGTTACTTGTTCGAAATCATCTGATTGAAAATTGAAAATGACGACATAATGACGTCGTGACGTCTAAATATCTGTCACTGTCAAATCAAAGTGTACTTTAGGGTAGGGAACTTAATTGTAAAAGTTTTTCAATTTTCCCTTTTTTCTTTTAAAATCCGCGTTCTGAAACGAAAAGTGCTAAATATATAAACATTTAAATAAATATATTAATCATGGTAAGCAGCAAAATCATTTGTTTTATACAAAAAAGACAAAGATTTTCTTTTCTTAAAATTTTTATTGTTCCTTCTTCTGGTGGAAAATTATCAAACAATTTCTTGTAGGATCCTCGAGATAATGGATCCCTAATAGCTTTGGAACATTTAATGGAAGAATTTTTTAATCCACAAACAAGTAATAGTAGAAAACATGACATAGAAATACAATTGAACTACTTTAAGTCTTTGCCACATCTGTGGAGATACTGCATTTATTTCATTACTAACACATCCAGCCAATACGTAAAAATGTTTGCCTTATCTACATTGGAGGTAACTTAGCATCGTAATATATCACCTTAATAAGTTTTAACATATATTATTTAATAATCATGTAATTTCTTATAAGTTTGTAAAAACCTTGATATGTTGTCAATATATTCTGTGAATATAAAGTTACTGACTCTCATAATAAATAACTAAAACTTTGATTTTGTAGTCTGTGATAAACCAACAATGGGCTAACACTGAGTGGTCTTCTAAAGAGGAAATAAAAACTGTACTGCAAAATTTTCTAGTAGAAAATGGACATTCTTCCCCACATTTTTTTAGAACTAAATATGCTAAGCTACTAGTGGATATAGCTAAACATGACTGGCCAAGTACATACCCAAACTTTTTTAACAATATTCTAGAGGTAAGATTGAATTAGATAACACTTTTGAAATTCATATAAATAAATAGTGCACTTGATTTTTATTGAAGATATAATTGCATTAAAAATTAATTGTGATAAATTTTTGTTAAATATCTGATTGATTTTCAGTTATTAAAAGCTGAACCAAGTCAATTAGTGGGATTGATTTTGCTAAAAACAAGTAGTGAGGAGTTTATGGGTATACAAGCAACATATGAAAGTAGTAGAAGGAAAGACGAAGTTCTAAGACTGTTACAACAATACATTCCTGTAGTCTTTGAGATGTTGACAAACATTTTAGACAATCTAGGTAAGTCACTTTATTTATCTCACTAATTATTTATTAGTTAAGATAAAAGAAATTTTTATTAGATACATAGAGTCTTTTTTGGGACTTTTTTAGTTGATATGACAGTTGGATGACTTTTATCACTTATTGTTTGTGTAAGCTTAAATTTCTCTGGAAGTTAAATAACCAATTGCAGTCTAGACAATTTCCATACATTTTTTTTTCTGTCCTTGTTAAATTAAAAAAAGGTACTTATAAATTATGTTGACTTCAAAATTTGTGAAAATCAGGTGAGAATTTTTTTACAACAAATATGTGGGGTTTTTTTATTAATTATTGTTACCACTGTAGACCTGAGATTTTTCAACTAACAGAATAAATTAATTATTTGGGCTATTTTAATATGGTAGATTTTAATGTGATGATATGCAATCATATTATAATATGATAGAGTAACTGGTATTGGTAGAGATGACTAATTAGTAAACTTGTATTGGTAATGCTGTTAGTATTCATCCAAATTCACTTGCACCCTTGGAACTTTTTCATTACAGTTAGTTTTTACGAAATTTCATACATTATCAAGGAAGGCTCTGTCAGGATGTATTATCATCATTATCATCTTTGGCTCTACAACCCTGGATGGGCCTTCATTGATACAACTCAAACTTTCTTGTACTCCTCCATATATGTGCCTAAGTATTCTTCTGTCAAAGCGACCTAACAGTTATTCGTCGCTTTTTACCATAGTCCATGTCTTTGACGCGTATGTCAGGACAGGTTTAATAAGAGTTTCATATATTAGTATCTTGGGTTTTCTGCTAATTATGTGTGATGTTAAGAACTACTTTAGTCCAAAGTAACCTCTGTTCACCAGGTATATTCTTCTCTTAATTTCTACTCTTACTAGGTTGCTGTTATTTAGTTGTCTTCCAAGATATATAAACTCCAAGACCCCTTCAAATGTATGTGCTTCTATCACCAGATCTTGTGGTGCTGCTATTTGTGTGCTGTTCGTGACCTTCATGTATTTTGTTTTGAATATGTTGACCTGCAGTCCACTTGTCTTTGTGGCTTTTTCGAATGTTTCAAAAGCCTGTATCAGGTCTCTTTTTGTCCATGTTACTATGTCAATGTCATCTGTGTAAGCCAATATCTGTACACTTCTATTGATGATTGGACCTCTGGTTGTTATTTCTCTATAGCTCTTTCTAGCACGATGTTAAATAATAGGCACTATAGACTGTCTCCCTGGCGTAATCCAGTATGTGTTTGAAAAGGCCTTGACACTCTGTTTTGTACCTTGACTTTGCACTCAACTTTCGAAAGAGTTGCCTTTACCAATGTTATTAGGATGTATTATAGTCTATTAAATAATTGTCAACTTTAAATATCTAAATTAACAATCCAATTTGTCAGAATAAGATGAGTTGGACTCAAAATCAAGAAATGATAAAATAATTTAGATATATTTTTTTGTTGCTACATAATACATTAGTAGATATGACAGAAATGTTTGTTTGGCAGATATTTCTTATTACTTTCGTTTGATAATGAGTTCAACAACTTTTGAAGATAAATGTACAGAAAAGTTTTTTTATTATTACATAATCTTTTTCTGTCAGATATTTGATTTTTATTTATTTACAAAGTTTTATTGATTTTCAAACACACAGTATAAAAACCCTTGAAGAATTCTTGTTATTTGTTCTTTATTTCTTTAAATATCCATTTTTGAGATGTTTTAACAGGTTCTACTAGAACACCCAAAAATGGCTGCAGCCAGCTAGTCAGGAGGTTGTATATATTTAATATAGCTATAATTTTGTAAATATCCTAGCTTTTAAATAAAGGCTTAAATAATCACATATTTGGTATTTATTTAAATCCACAATAACATTTCCACAAATGCTATACCATATAGTGTGTCTATCCCTAAATAGGGTTATTAGATTTATTTCCCTTGTCTGATATGACTATTTATTTCATTAGAAATAATACTAGTAGGTATATAAAATCAACAGATTTAGAACAGAACATTTAGTAATAATCAAATGTTTGTGTTTTAAAGACTTATAATTGAATAGGTTTAGATATAACCCTTCAGTTTGTAGTATAGCAATATAGAATGACAATATGCTATTGTTCTTCTAATATCCATATATTACTGGAAAATTTTTGTCCTCAGCAGTTAATGTTTAATCTTTTATGATTTGAAATCAGATAAAACAATACTCAACAAGAAAAATGAATTAGGACCTTATAATTGTTTTTGAGGAAGCTCTACTATTTTTATTTTTGTATGTTGATCATTATATAAATATATGCAGTAAATAATTGACCAAGGACCAAGGTAATAAATATTTTTTGTTTACAACAGAAATTCTTGTCTTGGCTCATTTATAATATAAATATAATGCACAATATTGTGCATATCTAAGTTAGTATTTTGAAACTGTAGAATAGTTTAAAATACTTATTATTGTGTATAAAAGTCATATTGTGTAATAGACCAATAATGCTCACAGTTTATAGAGTTGTTTTTTTAACATAATCATTATAGTATCATTAGTAGTTTCTAATTTTTATTTACAGAATTACAGAATTAGGTAACTATCTATCTTAATTTATATTTTAAACAGTATGACCCTTTATGAGATTAAGACTGATATAAGGTTGATCATATATTAAGCTACTTTTCTGTGTTTTTTTTTTTAGGTTTTTGTGGATATATTAAGACCTTTCACAAAAACGTTTTGAACAAAATATCTTTTCTTGTGCAAAACTGTTTTCAATTATTTTAGTATGCTTAAGTGGTGTTATAAAGTATTAAATTTGGTAACTGATTACACATGGTAGCCACAAACTGACTTTTTGTATACAGGAATATTAGAATCTACCCATGTGGACAAACGATCATCATCAACAAATAATACATTTTCCCAAAATCCTCTTACATTATTCCTGCTTATTTGTATTTAATATATTTTTGCTGTTCTAGGTGTTTCATCAAGTTAGCTGGATCTTAGTATTTATAATTTCTGTTTCTACTATTTTAAATTACAATATATTTTTATTAAATTCTGGACGATTCTAAATATAGCGGATTTTTCAGGTACAAAACCCCGCCATACTTCCACTGCCACACCGCCGCCTTCACCCGCACACCCATCATCGTCGCCGACTTTGTCACAGCAGCTGGTCACTGCTGCATTTAGACCAGATAACAAAACGTTGACTAAAGAGGCGTTAGAGACTGTGCAACATCTTTTCACGTGGGCTCCCATACAAAGGATCCCGCCGCAAATCATAAGGGCCATATTTAGCTTCACCACTGTTTCTTCATATTCGCAGGTAAGGAACACACACAGAGACACTCCATTTTAACTGCCTTGGTTAAGTAAATTGTTACAATAAAACAGTACCAAGGTTATTTACTCACTTTATGGATATATTGGTACTGAAATGAAATTAAATAATAATTTTATAATATATATTGTAAAAAGATAAGCAATTAATTCATATGTTGTTAAAATGACTCTTTGTACTAAGAATCGAATTTAATCTGCTTTTTATTAATTACCAATTTAATTACAAAGGAATTTAATACCGTCTTCTGGAAAACGTTCCCTACCAAAGGCTAACAAAAACTTTATTAAAACCTTTTGTTCTCTACACAAAAATACTCTTGGAGTTTTAAAAACCCAAACAGGGTAATCACAGTTGTTCTTACTGGATATTGCTTCCTCAGAAATCGTTCTGTAGAATGGGCAAAGTGAAACTGCGTTGGGGCTGCGAAAATTTTGAAAAAGTGGTCAAACATATTGTACTGGAGAAAAATTGTTTTTTGAAAGAAAATGTTTATGAAACTATATCGGGTGTATTATCCCTAAAATTAAGTGATAATATATGCGATGATAGTATCATAAACTGTAATATTTGATATTAATGACTTTACTTTTCAGGACGATGACGACATGTGTGTTTTAGCCATGTCAACTGTCAATGAGCTGCTATATAGAAAATGCACACCTCCAGAAACGCAAGATTTTTATTTTCAGCTGTACCATCAAACGGTAGATCTACTCAAAGAAATTACTAGTTCAGCAAATAGGATAGATTCTTTAGATCCCATGTAAGTTATATGCTATATATTTATATGCTCTTTCTAATTTTTTCTTTAAGTTTTGCATTGCAGAACTAAATGACAATGGCTTTATCATTGAACTTTTAAGTAACTACTTATAGGATGGAAGACATTCTGAGACATATACTAGAGTTTCCAGTTTTATTTTTTTCAGGAAGTTTTATTTAATTTGTAATTTGAAACACCATCTTCATTTTATTTGCCATGTCTTGTGCTTGAGGAATTTTTAAAGTGTTAAACATTATTTTTTATTCTTGACATTTAGAATCGTTCAATCACACTACATTCTGAATATATGTCCCAAGAATATATTCTATCGACTCTGGAGTCGCCATTAGGAAATGGTTTGTGGTTGTCCGCAGTCACAGAGTGGCGATGGTCGTTTACCCCATTTGTGCATCATGTAACCGCATCTGCCGTATTGGGTTCTGATTCGGTTCAGCATAGTCCTTGTATTGCGTGGTAAGTCAAAACCTGGTCGTTTTTGTGTGATGCAGGGTAAGCTGCTATTTTGTTGTTCCATCCATTTTCGAGTCCAAGTGGTCGTTAAGTTAAGTTGAACTCATTTTCCACAGCAATCTGTGCTGTTTTTATTGGCGATCGTCTGGAGCCTAAGTATCTTTTTGTACTCACTAATGAGGGAGTGTATGCGCCTAGTTTGGGTGGTGGAATGTGGCTCGGTACTGGGAGCTAATGCGTAGGGGTGGATTTGATAACACCAGCAATCATTCTCATTGTATTTTTCAATTGGGCATCTTTTTTACGAATTATTAGACCAACAGTATAAAGCTGCTCCAAAACATGACGCCAAAATAGTAATGGGGATTGTAATGCTAAACTAGGTAAGGAAGACTATTTAAAAGAAGTAAACGATAAACATAATCGATAATAATCTATATCTGCGCTAATAGTCAGCTAGATTTGAAGGACCAGGAAGCTCCAGGCTAGTTCTGAAATGCGAAAAGGTCCCATCAGGCGTGGATCGACAGTCAGCATGATTAGGGTACCGGGATACTCTGGGACCCGAATCTCTGATTATAATGCCCTTCAGTACTATCAAGAAGTAGGACAGTTTGGCGGTCGGCATGTTCACTTGCCACTGAAGACTCAGACAGCACCTACATCTACTTGATGACGAGGAGGAAAACTCTCATGCTCATTGTAGGTGCCCGGTAATGGCCTATCACAGGTGGTAGGAGTTTGATTTGGTGTTTGTCTACAGAGGGAGGGGAAGGATGACTGTTAAGGAAGCTTGTGACTTTCTGTGAGGCCACAAGCTTGTAAGATATTAGACTTATTGGATCAGAATTAACTCTGCCCTCAGTTCATTATCACCCTTGATACAAGGTAAGAAGACTTTTGATTTAATTTCTATAGGATGTTTTTATTGGAAACTGGAACATAGACACGATTAGACCAGCCCTATTGCTTGTTTTCACATTATATAGTGCGACTGCAGTCTTTTACCATTTCAGAGCTATTCAGTAGTCTTCTTGTAGAATTAAGAGTTGCTTATTTGTTCTTTTCTTTATTACAACTTAACTTTTTGATATACTACTTGATTTTAAAATCGCTACGCTATTTAATTACCGAAATAAGACTGACACAAATCTCTCACACTCACACTTATTTATCTCGATAGTTACACATATCGTAATATCCTGTTCTAAATGTTTAACCAAAGTTTTCGAATTGTGCTATTATTTGACTAATTTTCGTACGACTGGGATTGGGTCG